AAAAAAAAAAAAAAAAAAAAAAAAAAAAAAAAAAAAAAAAAAAAAAAAAAACCTTATTTATCATGAATAGATAATATTTTTTAATTGGAAGCTCATCTCACCTTCGGCTTCAACCATGAATATGAATGAGCAATGGAATATGATACACAAACCTTACAAAAAGAATTCATTTCACCATTTCTTTATAGTTCAAATGGAAATACAACAACTCATTCCATGTATCAGGAACACCAGGCAGGCACCAATGGCTGCAATCTTCACCTCCTCTTGAACCCTGCCTATTTACAAACGATTTCCCGTACATGGACGGGTGCCCGTCGATCCGATAATCCGATAAACCAGTTACGTTCAACAACGTAACTCGAGTTTTCATCTGACTTATCACATCTTCTACAATCACATTCTTCTCTGGGTAACCCAAGTTTGATGATGTCACATTTAGAGGCTCTGTTGCTTCTCTGCAATGCCCACCTGAATTCCACTGCCCTCCCCTATATTCAAAAACATCACACATATACTCAGCAACTCAGGAGACTGTCTTTGAAAGCTGCTGAAAAGTTGATATCAATACCTGAAATGGGACGGTGCTGAACTTCGAAAGAAAACTCGGGTTTTGTTTGAATTTATGTACTTATCGACCCATGCTCCCCAAGTCGTCAAAGCTCGTCTGAAAGCGATATTTACATTGAGTCGAGGAAGAACTTGGTCTCTTTCTTGGTAGTAATTGATCCTGTTATAAAACCAGTTCATCATAATTTGGATCATGTGACATAAAGAATAGTGAATAAGAGTGAGTAGGGCAGGAATTTCTATAATTAGACTGTGACTAAAGAGTATTCTAAGTTAGGCTCAATGTGTGCCATCTCTAAGTAAGCATTGGCATGGCCAAAAGAGCCGATCTGGTTTATCATAGAACCAGTCATTGACATGGCCAAATGTAATAGCTCAAGTTCACCGCTAGCATATATTGTCCTCCTTGGGCTTTCACTCAAAGGTTTTAAAATGCGTCCGATAAGGAGAGGTTTACACACATTTATAAGCAATGTTTTGTTCTCCTATCTCCCACCGACTTGGGATTTCACACCAAAAGAGTAATGGAACCAGTCAAAATGGATAGGACATAGCTTCTCTTAGAACTATGAGGACAACAAAGAAACTAACCCAGATTTTGTTTTGTAATGAGACCACCAATGAGCAGAGTTGAAAATCAAAACATCAGCACCCCGCCATCTGGACGAGCCCCGATCGATGGTATCGATTCGCAGCGTCTGTATGCGTCGCCGTCCCAACCTTGCCTTGTCCTCATGAACAAGAAAATGTGACACATAGAACTCCACAGTACACTTGTAATCCTAGAAACAGAAACAACAGACATCAACAATGACAACAACTGATAAATCTACAAGGATGGAAGAACTTATCAAAGTAGAATGAATTACCACAAACTTAAAGCTATAATTCCCTTTCTTCTTGGTGATCCTTCGGCCATGAGTTTCATAGACCTTCCTTGGATCTTTAATAGCACTAAACAACATACACAGCATAGATTCCCATTGGTTTCTGTTGATTGAATCTCCCACAAAAACAATCCTCTTCCCTCTTATCAGTTCCAGCATTTTTGTTGCGTTAAATCTTCATTCAAATCCCACAATCATAAACCCAGAAACCGACGGATTTGTTTGCCAAAACTAAGCAAAAAAATGAAGATGAACATACCTGTAATCGCCACAATCTTGGGGTTGCCATTTGAATTTCTTGTAGTTCAAATCCAATCTGCCATTGCCCTCGCAATCAAAACCTTCATCAATGAAAGGACACGAACCATTCGAGTACAGTGGGTTGCTCTCATCAAAAACCCACTTCCCCTTTGATAAATCACACCGATGAGATTCTTTTCTCACTATCTTTTTTGGGGATTCTAATTTCTCCAATGGAACTTTCTTATCAATCATCTCGCTGATGGGCAATTGCACTTCAACTTCCTTAATCGAAGTCTCACCGTCGCTTGGCCGGATTGCGGTGGTATTTCCATCATCGCCACCGTCTTTCTTCCCTTCTTCCGCGGCGTTCTCATTCCTCTGCTCGCCGGGAATCGAAATCCCACCATACCCAGTAATATTTTCAGGATTCTTCAAGTGGGCAGAAAGATTTTCAGATTTCCTGAAATGGGTATCGACCAAATGCGTATTATTCGCATCAGTTCTTGAGAAATTCCTCCCGAAACTGTTGACCGTCTGGAGATTCACGGGTCTGAAGAAGCTCACAGCAACTGGGGTTCTGTTGAAGAACAAAAAACTCTCAGGGCGAGCAGGGGAATTCTTGACGATCCAAAGGGAAATAAATGAAAGGAAGATGATAAACGAAGAGATTGTGAAAGTGAAAACCAAGAATCTAGTGGGTTTAACGGCGAAGCTTCTTTGCCGCTCCATCGATTCGCACGAGAGAAAAAAAAAAAAAAGAAAAAAAGGGGAAAACAAAAATGGGGTGTTGGAGGCAAAGCAATTATAAATGTCACATCCGAAATGGAACAAAAATCGAGGGCAAAAACAGAGCGGCAGCGAATAAAGACGCCGAGAGGAGAGATTTGAAAAATGGGGTTTGTTAGTGGGAAGTTCTCTGGACCCTCAACTGCTCCACTCCATCAAATCACTACGTGAAGCTATTAAAAAAATGTCACTTTCTTCAGGGATAAGCTTGGATAACAACAGCCCTTCAAAAGTATTACTCAGAATTGTTCTATGAGATGAGACTCAGTAACAGAGATCGATTCTGGAGCGTTTTTGGGAATTTAATATCCTCATTGAGTGTGAATCAAGGAATCAAGATTTGTGAAGTAAATTAATTGGAGCTTTTGAATGCTATGAAAGTTGAAACTGATTTTGATTAAAAACTGTAATGTTTTAAATTGATTTGGGTTATTGGGCTGATTTTGGACCCACCGCACCTGTTCATGTTGATTTTACTAACATTTAATATGAGTTATATATAAAAAAAAATACAAATAATTGTGGAGTTAGCCATCAATGATATTTTAAAATTGTAATTAGCGTCTTAATTAATGAGTTATATTTGTTTTGACCATCTTTATTACCTCTAGTATTAGGAACTTTCAAGATTAAATCTTGCAACTGTCTTAGACCAATTGACTTGTGCATAATTCAAAAACTCTTATTGAAGATGAAGAGAGCGGAAAAAAGTCTACAAGGCGCATCAAGAGAGGAAGGACCCTGATTGAAGATCACTCGAGGAGATCAACCTAACCTAATCCAACCTACCAACCTAAAGGTTTGACCCGAGATCTAAGTCAGTATCGAAAAAGATCTCTTTCTTTCTCGTAGTCGGACCGGCTTGTAAGCAAGCTACTTATCACCTATCTCACCCACTTTTTTCTTATTAGTTAGATATGTTTCTTACGACTTTGCTTAGACTAGCATTTTTGGTAAACGGAGATAATGATACGAAATGCACGACACAGTGGAAAAATATAGGTATGTATGTTTTTTGAAATTGATAATAATTTATATTACTTTCCTGAATAGAAATATGGTCATCCCTATTCCCATACTCTAAAATTCATTAATTATTAATTTTACTTTATATAATATATATATATATATATGTAATTTCGATAGTTTTTTAAGGTAATTTTATTGGAAACAATAAAATAGTAATAACTTAAAAAATGTTGAAGAAAGTCGCTAATAAGTTTTTTAATTTAAAAAATATTAAATAAATGCTTAAAATTTTAATTTGGTATATATTCAACTTTTTTTTAAAATTTAAAATCAGACCCCACATAAAATTAATTTTTTTATTTGATAGATTATTAAACTCGTCTAATAAATTCATGAATTATTAAAATAGATAGACTTGAACAATCTATTAAACACAAAATTAAAAGATTAGATTTTAATCTTCTCGTTAACTTTTAAAGTATTAAATAAACTATAGTTAAAAGAAAACTATTTGATAATTTTTAAATTTGGGAGACCAAAATTGTAACGTCCAGGTCCACGGGCATTCGCTTTCGAACTTCCTCTCGAGGTTTTTAAAACGCGTCTGTTACAGAAAGTTTCCACATTTATACAAGGGTGTGTCGGTCTCTTCACGGATTAACGTGTAATATCACAAAAATTAAATGGAAGGACCACTAAATTAGGAAATTTTTTATATATAGTCCTAATTTAAAATTGAGCCAATGCATGTTATCAAGTTTGCATGAAAAACAAAATGTGGGAAAGAAATAAAATAATTAGTTATTTTTATTATAATAAACAAAATAAAGAAAAAACAAATTAGCATGTCTTTTATTTAATATTGATTAGATGTACGTACGCCACACAAGTTGTCTTTTCTTATGACTTTTGAGATAATGGTTCATAATTTATTCACAATTTTAAACAACAGTTATTATAATAATAAAATAATTTTGGAGTCTTCTTAATAATTTATTCACTATTGGTACGCTTCATTTAAGCTTTTACATTGACCATTTAAATTATGCTTCTTACTTTTTTTTTTTTTTCTTTTAATTCCTATTTCCTCTCCATATGTAATGACATAATTAAAAAAAAAAAAAAAAAAACTGAAGTCATTGGTTGTAAAAGCCGAGTGAGCTCGATGTTACGGTCATGCTTGTCCAAGATATGTTGTTTATGGCCAGATCATGCTTATTCAAAAAGTGTTGTCCATTGCTACATGTCTTTTCCAAGTCTCTCTACTTAGCCACCAAAATATACTATACAGGGATTTAATTATGGTTGCTTATTTACTTTTAATCTACTTTCTTTAAAATTGTTTTAAATTTTACACGGTTGACTTGTTTGATTGATTAGAACAAGTGTCATACAATTATTGACCCGTTATTGCAAGAGTAACACTCAAGCTCCTCTCACAGAAAAATCATGTAGCTGGAAGAGAAGAAGTTGAGTTCTATGATCTTGGGTATCGTCAATTGGAATCTTGTGTTTGCAACTTCATCAGCATTCGTTCGGAGTTTTATCTCTAGTCACACATATTGCTTCGAGAGATTGTTGTATGCATTCAAAGTTATCCTGAAAATATTATTGTATTTACGAGACCTCTTAACTGCTTACCTCTTACCTGCAAAGAGTATGGATTAATTGTAGCAACAAGGGAACAATTAATTATTAAGAAGAGTTTGAAAGTTGTTAAATGAAAATGAAATCCAAATTGAAAACAAAGCATGTTTCATGAACATTGGTTACACAATCTCCAAATTGAAAGTAACACAACCTAACACAATATAATATAAGCTCAAACAGAATAACATAATTTTCTTCTGTATTTCTCAACCTGCATCAACTCTTCTCTCCTACCAAAAAATCATCATCCTATGCAGAAAAAACTGCCTCTACAAGAGCATGCTTCTTCTTTGGATACCCCATTCCGAACATGTGGCTGAGGTACACCTTCCCATCCTTCACGGTTGCAGCCGTGGCCAACCGATGCTTCAGTCCCGAACATGTCGACACCAACGAAGCGGTTTTCCACCCGTCTCTGCTTTCCACCAATCTTCCAGCAGGGTTCCCTGCAACTACAAGTTTGGTTGGAGAAAGTAGCTCTAGGCCATCTCCAAACACAAGATTGCCTCCACTTACATTGATCAACTTAACCTCCTCCCCCTTCGCCAAATCTATCTTGTACAGATTTCCACTAAATGTATGAATAGCTAACAAAAATCCATCTGGGTGATAAACTATGCCATTTAAACCAACAATGTTTTTGTACCAATCCTTTGAGATGAATAGCGGACTTTTGATGATAGATATGAACTTGCCATCGGCTCCAACCTTCCATATTCTGCTGTTTTTAGCATCCGTCACATAGGCATTGCCTTCGGAATCAACGGCAACATCATCCGCAAAGGATTTCTCATCATCTGCATAGGCTTAAAAGAGATCAACTTGATAGAATAATGAGCACACAACATGAATGAACATCTTAGAACTGATATTGACTATGAATCGAAAGCTTAGCAGTGGTCCTTTTGATGAAAGTAAAGTTTGAGCTATATGATTTGGAGTTCTATGTATGAACAGAAGAGTTACACATTACAACCAAACAATCAGATATGAGCAGAACATATATTGACAATTTCCCCCCAGAGAAAATCATTATATCACCAAGTAAGATGAGCCAAACAGCAACAACCGACGAAATAGATATTGATGATTTGTTTAAACGCCTTCAAAAGGTTTCATGATTTCACTTTTCCATTTAAATCCCAAGTCCTAACTAAGAATCTCAAAAAGCTAAAAGCATATATCAGGATTAGATGATATGGAAAGCAAACAATACATTATAGATTAAAACTAAGTATATTTCGTCTTAGATTTTGATTAAGAGGTTTAATGGCCTCTTTCATTGTCATACCAATTGATCCCGATCATTACGCCATTTTCATGTTATCTCCTAACCAATCAGCTAATATCAACCATTGAAGCGACGAAAACAAAGAAAAGAGAGAATAGAGATCTAATTTTCCGGAAAAGACTAAACGAAAGGGCGAAAGTCCTGCGGAGATTCATGCGGCGGAGTTACCGATGAACCTCAAAATTCACAGACGAAAAATGAAATTGAAGATCGATTACTCACTCGGACCACTAAGATGAGTCAAAAATTGCCGTTTCCAAGATGAGAGATCATAGGCCGCAAGTCCGCTGTACTTGTTGCCCAGCAAATCGGCGGCGACCACGAGCAGCCGATTTCTCGGACGGTCAACGAAAATCCCAAGAGAAGCATTCCCCTGCAACTCAGCATCTTTGATCACCGGAACTTCTTCGAGAACGGCATCCGGCGAGTGATTCTCGGGGACGGAAACCTGGCCGATACCGCCGTCCATAAAACCAACCCAAAACCGGCGGCCGAGATCGTCCCATTTGGCGCACTCCCTGAAGAAGCCGGTGCTGTGATAGTAATAGACATGGGAAGGGGGCTTAGCGAGCTCAAGCGAGATGAGGAATGCGATGGGAATGGCGGAAAGTACGAAGAGAGTGAAGAGACATCTGGTGGAGCAAATGGCCATGGCTGCTCTGGCTCTCTCCTTCTCCGTGCAATGGGAGAAGAGAGAAAATGGTGGGTTAGTGGGTCAAAGCTCCGAAGGCAGAAATGAGGTTTCGGGGATGGAATTCTTGTTTGGTATTTTGGATGAAATGGTATAGAGGTCACAATGAACGTTATTTATAGTTTTTTTTTTATTAGGTCACCTATTTATTTATTTATTTATTACAATAATTATGAATATCAAAATTTTTCTTGCTATGTTTAAATTATATATATTAATAGGTGTCTAAGTTCCAGGATCATTTTTTAATTTAAACATTTAAATTTTTATTTGTAAAGAAAAATCCATGGGAAATAATAAAGGGTAAGAGCAATTTGCTCAACGAACTTACCTACTAAAATGGTAATGACATGAAGATTTTGGAATCTTTTGCTAACTTATAGATATTGAATTTAAAATAGTGTGATACATGTTTTCAATAAAATATTTAGTGTCCTATTTTTCTCAACCGTGGTGCGTTGTAGTTTGGTTAGATTTTAGGCTAAGATTTGTCTTTGTCAACCGAACATCACTTGTGTGGAATCTAAGTTTGTTGGGCCACATGTGCCGCTTGTGTGTGTTCAATCGTCTCCGACACAACTATGTCGCATCTCATTGTCATCTCAGTTCCCAACAACCTGGCCCACGCATCGTGATGTCATTCCATGTCTTGGAACAACTCAGCCATCTTTGCTTGCTCGGGCATGTTCGTTGGGAATCTCATTGTTATCTCGGTTCCCAACAACACGACTTACGCGTCGTTATGTCATTCCATGTCTTGAGACAACTCATCTATTTTGGCTTGCTCGGATACGTCTATTGGGAATCTCATCGTCATCTTCGTTCCCAACAACACGACCTACACATTGTGATGTCATCCCATGTCTCAAGACAACTCGGTCATCTTGCCTTGCTCGAACGCTTGTTGGGAATCTCATTGTCATCTCAGTTCCCAACAACACAACCCACACATTTTGATGTCATCTCATGTCTCAAGACAACTCGACCATCTTGACTTGTTCAAACACATCCGTTGCGAACTAACCCATGTGTCGGACATCTCATTAGGACATCCCAAACATCTATCCATCCAAATTCTTTCGAGCATTGATGCACCCATATAACTTTATATTAATTTAGATATATTGTAGGATTAATAGTATGATTTTCTAGAGAATAAAACTTAGAATAATAAGTTATAAGAATTATTGTCTTCACCAACAATTAAGGTATACATTCCTTTTCGGTAGCTCAATTATAAGATGTCGAAAATGTTCTTGAGGAAGTTTGAGTGATCGACAACAACGATTTGCACGACAATCCGTCGCTAGAGATTTTGATCGATTGGTTGAGCAATCGGCTGCTTGTTGTCTATGCCGATGTTCGTCAGAAGAAATACAGTGGGCTCGCCCGCTTATGATCTCTACCTAAGTTATCCCCTAGGTTTCATCAACCCACTTAAGCTCAACTACTCTAAGGTGGAAACTATCAAGTTCTCTTTCCTTCACCCTATTTAAGCCGTTAGTTCCCAAGATTCAACTCTTCTGAACTCATCTTTCTCATAGGATTTGTTCTTAATGTTCTAAGATATCTTAGTTAGATTGCTCTACTGGTATCTTTCATTGTCATATTGCTCAACTATGCCTCTAAACCAATTCCAACTCATATTTATCATCATACCAATATGAACATTGTTCCGAAGCTCTGGTAGAGGTTAGTTAACATTTTCCTAGTAGACCCCATATAAATGAGGTTGCAATTCTCAATCTAGCCAACCTTCATCTCCCTATATGGCACCTTACTCTAATAGGAACAAGATTACAATTAAGAAGCGGTTGGAGACTCTCTAAATGCACCGTACTTAGAAGGTTCATGCATTTTCGGAGTTCATCCCTAGTTCTACCAACTCATAAAGGTATTATTACAGACCCTATCAATCATCGGGGCAGATTAAGACAACATCTGAATGAGAGTGATGTTGAAGATAAGATGGTTAAGAAGAACTTAAAAGATTTGAAAGTTACTACATTTACCGTAACGCCCCAGATCCATCACTAGCAGATATTGTCTTCTTTGGGCTACCCCTTTCGGGCTTTAAAACGCATCTTTTAGGGGAAAGTTTCCACACCCTTATAAAAGGTAATTTGTTCTCCTTCCCAACCAATGTGGGACATCACAGTCCACCCCCCTTCGGGGCCCAGCGTCCTCACTGACACGTTTCTTTCTCCAATCGATGTGGGACCACCACCAAATCCACCCCTTTGGGGCCAGAGTCCTTACTGGCACACCGCCTCGTGTCTACCCCCTTCGGGAAACATCGAGAAGACTGACATATCGTCCGGTGTCTACCTCTGATACCATTTGGACAATAAATTTTACCTATTTAATCTAAGGTCATTACTATACTTTAAATGCGAAATTTACCTTAAAGGGGCTCTTATCATAAATGCAACCTAAGTTTGTCTTCTATTACCTCATGAATAACTAATTAAAGGTGAAAAAAAGCTTATTTACTTTGAATAACTTTATATATGGGGACCTCCTAGAAATTTTTTATTTTTTTTTTTTTATTTATTTATTTAAATGACTGGTGTGGTCTATAGGAATAGTCTTCTTCATACCTCACTTCTACGGATCGACCTAAACCTCAGTCGCTCTCAAGTTTGTTCTATTTTAGTTAATATATCTACTTGTTGAGTGCTTGTCTCTAATCATATAACTTGAAATCACGCTACTACACAACACTTTGACAAAGGACATCCGTCTAAAACTAGTTGAGCTGTGCTAAAATTAACGATTCGAATTCGTTAAAATTGCATCTTGATACGTATTAAATACTCCGACCAAACAAATGAAAAAGGTGGGCTTTAAAATTTGGTGTTGGTAACATATTTAGTAGTTGAGCCAAACAGCTGAAAAAGGTGGAATGCCGATTATTCGTTTAAATGCTTGAAATATTGTTAGGCAGCCAAGCTGGTTTTAAATGGATGGCGCCTCCCTACAAACAATTAGAGTGGGCCTTCAACATAATGAACCAATTTTTATGTCCAGACACCCCTACTTGGTTGCTTAATCACCTATGGGTTTAGATAGTTTAGAGCAGAAATGGAATACTTTGTATCTGACTTTTTCTTAGACTCTCAACCATGTCTTAGCAATCGCAAGGATATAGCAACCGAATAGGCATCGCTTGCTCGGCTACTTTGCATATTATGAAAGTTGTATTGTTCGAAAGAAGGGAGTATGATGCAAGAGTGGAGGTGAGTGGTAGGCATAGGAGGCGTGCAGCTATGTGGTTGGTTCCACATCACTAGATTGAAACCTAGAGAGTGGCAGGTGTTAGGAATCACAACTATCTACAATAATATGATATTGTACACTTTGAGCATACTCTCATGGTCTTACTTTTGGTTTTAGGAAGGAATGTATTCCTTGCTTATAAATACATGATCATTTTCTAAATTAGCCATTGTGGAACCCCCTCCCAACAAGCGTCAGTCAAGTCAACCGCAGGGCAGTTTCTTGTATTAAGGGAATAGGTGGTAGGGTTAATAAGGCTCGATCTTACAATATAACAGTAATAATCCCCTACGGAAGTCTACATGCAATTCGTTTGACTATTATTAAAAAAAAAAATGAAAATCATCCAACTTGATATTTAGATTCTGTGGCTCTAATCTCTTTTTAATTTTCTTGTTCTTTTTAACTTGTTGTGAGCAATGAAAGGCGTATGCAAATCAGGACAATTTTGGGCATCTCTTGATATTTTTGTGCTCTGCCATCTGCTCATCGAATTGGCCATAATTTTCCAAGATTTTTCCATTTCAATGGAATTTCAATCGTCTACTCTTCCTCATTTTACAAATTTTTTGGGCCTTTGATGAAATATCTCCATAACTGATATGGCGTGGCCTTCATCCATTGGCCACCATTTGATAAGAAATATGTGTCAATGGCACATTTACCAATCCGTTTATATATTATACTTCCTAACGCCATATCCCCATGATTTATATCCTCTTTCAAGCTCTCAATTCAACTTCGCATTACTTCTTCCATACACACAGATATGGCGACCATTTCAGGGGTGAACCTCTCAAGTCCAAGAATCTTGGCCAAGGCTGTTGAGATACCTAAACCCCAATCTTTCAATGTTGGGTTTCTCCGCCGCTCGTGGAAGCAGTCGACCCAGTTTAGAGCCATACGATTGAGAGTTCCACCGGTTCACGCCGCACCGGATAAGATATCGGACAAGGTGGAAGAGAGCATCAAGAATGCAGAGGAGGCTTGTGCAGGTGACCCTGTGAGCGGCGAGTGTGCTGCAGCATGGGACGAAGTCGAGGAATTGAGCGCGGCAGCCAGCCATGCTCGTGACAAGAAGAAGGAGTCGGATCCATTGGAGACCTATTGCAAGGACAATCCAGAGACTGAGGAATGTCGCACCTATGACAACTGAGTAACGAAATGATATCAAGTTTTAAGTATTTTATATCATCTATATATTGATTTGGGATGATTTGTGGTTGTATAACTTTTTAAACCTGTTATTGTTACACAGTTAGCATGGATATGGCCAAAAAAAACCTAAAATTAATTGTAAACCGCTAACAAATATTGTCTTCTTTGGGCTTTCTCTCTCGAGCTTCTCCTCAAGGTTTTTAAAACAAGTATATACCGCTAACAAATATTGTCTTCTTTGGGCTTTCTCTCTCGAGCTTCTCCTCAAGGTTTTTAAAACAAGTATATTAGGGAGAGGTTTCCACACCCTTATAAATAATGTTTTGTCTTCTCCCCAACCGATATAGGATCTCACAATCCACCTCCCTTCAGTACCAACGTTCTCACTGGCACTCGTTCTTTTCTCCAATCAATGTGGGACCCCTTAATCCATCCCCTTCGAGACCCAGTGTTCTTTCGGGGCTAAGAGGTTTCCACACTCTTATAAAGAATGTTTTGTCTCCTCCCCAACTGATGTAGGATCTCACAATCCACCCTTCTTCGGTATCAGCATCCTCACTGGCACTCGTTCCTTTCTCCAATCGATGTGGGACCCCTTAATCCACCCTCTTCGAGACCCATCGTTCTTTCGGGACTCAGCCTTCTTGCTGGCACATCGTCAGGTGTGTGGCTCTGATACCATTTGTAACAGTTCAAGCCCACCGCTAATAGATATTGTTCTCTTTGAGCTTTTCCTTTCAGGCTTTCCCTCAAAATTTTGAAAACATATTTGGTAGAGAGAGGTTTCCACACCCTTACAAAGAATGTTCTCCTCTCCAACCAACCAATGTGCTATTTCACATGAATCATCCTCGTAAACAACCATAAAAGCAATTAAGAACAGAGTCGCTGGATTTTTATTCCAACAGTTCCAGAATCAGACAGCCCTAGATTATTTAAAAAACACGAGAAACAAGTGGCGGTTGCTTGTTTCATTGGTACATACAAGTCCACTCCAGCAAGAAAGAGAGGCCGTAGAAACTCAAACTCAAAGGCGTCACTTTTAGTTCTACATCTACCCCGCTTGTGGCGATAAGGCCATTTCAGAGAATATGTTCATTTTATAATGAAGAAAAGAATCAGCGTATTCTAGAAGAGGAATATAAGACGATTAAACACATTTGGATAAGCTAAATTGCCCACAGAACCAAGAGGAGGCAGGTCAAATTTGTGCATTGACAAGCAACAGAAGAATTAGCATATTGAGTTTTTTGGACTAGTTTGACGGATATCTATTAATAATCTTGATTATATCATTTAAACACTCCCTATTGATTAAAGGAGACAGTGTTTATAGTATTCCCACCTTTTTCCCATTAAATAATTCCCTACCTACCAACTCCACCTACAAATGTCGTGCGGCACACAAGGGTCATCAGAGAAGGGGTCAAAAGGAGAAGATCCGGAACAAGATTCCAGGAAGAATCCTGAGGATAAAATCAATTCTATCATTACTTAATGGATTAGTATAAAAGCCATAGTACTCATCTGGGGTTTCTCCAGCATACAATCTCAAGCATATTCTTTTCCCATCTCGGATAACCACGAACCAAAGCCAGCCCCCAGATTTGTTTATGCAACTGTAATGAACCAATTCAAAAGGTAAGTATGGCGGAAAGTTCCTGATAATCAAAATCAAATCTGTAATAGAGAGAGAGAATTGGACACAATTCATGCAGATAAGGTAGAATTGAACTCGGTTTGAATTGCACCAGCTAATACTTTAGCAGCAACAGTGGGAACAAATTTAACAGGAAACACGCAGAGCTCTTGGCATCAATAGTATTCAATACATAAGGACCAAATTCTATGTCATTGGTATCCAAGAACTTCTTGCGTTCAGCAATTAGCTAATGAGAAATCACTAGAGCGAATTCAGAAGAAGTCCCCAAATATAGATGGAATCAGTGTATCATTACATAACCAAAAACACATAAAAGTTCCATTTACATGACTAATTCAAACAGAAGATACAAAACCACTACTATATGACACGCAAACACAGACACAGAGCAGAATCCTAAGACCTGCAATAAATTCACAAACGACCACGGTTCCACTGGACAGAAGACTCGCAAATGTGGCGATTCTAACCGCTTTAAGAGGGACTCACTAACACAGGAACATGTCAGCTACGGGCAGAGCTGGCCGAGAGAACTCCCACGGCTTCAAGAGAGGATCGGGAATTTCAGGGATGTCCATAGCAAGCCCGCTAACCTCCTCGACGATCTGAAGGACCGAGTTCAGGGATCGCAGACGATCGGCCAGTTCTATAGCTTGAGCCCTGAGAACATTGTTCATGTTGTCGACCTGAACAAATGCTTGCTCCTTGGCACCAATGCTCTGCAGAAGCTGATTATTCGCCATTTGTAATCGGCTCAGCTCCCCCGTGAGGTCTTCCACTTGCTTCTGCTTTTTCATCCGAGATCTCCGAGCCGATTCTCTGTTGGATTGCATCCGCTTCCGCTTTCTCTCATCAGGAATGGCAGGTTGCGAACCTCCATTTGATCCGGGGGAGCTTTTCCTTGGAATAGATGCCATATAATTCTCTCTTTCAATTACTTCCCGCCAAAATAATACCAAGTAATCTCGAGTAAAAAGTTGTTTTAGTATCTAATCTGATAAAAATCAAATGAATCTCCCGATCTACAACTCAGGCTACCGCAAGAAGAGATCAATCAAATTCCACAGCGACGAAGAAGGCGATTAGTTCATGAGAAGACGTAGAACCAGTACAGAAACACAACCGAAAACGAGTGGAGGATACGAATACGTCGCCTCAGTAAAGAGAACGTCATAGAAAACCTAAAATCATCGAGGTAATCAGGAAAACCCTAGAAGGAAGTAGTAAACCATGGATTTTGAAATCAGAGCAAGAGAGACAAACACGGAGCAGGGGAAATGAATCAAGGAACGGACAAACAGAGAGAAGAACTACAAATCACAAATCAAGCCGTAGTCAAGAACTGTGACGAAGAATTGGATAGAAATCTAAGAGATTGGAATTAAAGAGGACAATGAAAGAGAAGAGAAAGCAAGGGAAAAGAAAAACGCAAGAACAAGGAAAGAAGGAAGAAAGAGATAAAATGAAAAGACTAGAGAAGAGAGGAAAAGTGGAAGAAGAAAAAGAGAGAGAGAGGCTTAGCTTAGGTGAAGACTGCGAGCGAATGGCGAGGCGAAAGAAAGTGTGGCGAGGCGCGGAGAGGGGTTTTTATAGGGGAGGAATGTGAAGGCTTAGCTTAAATAATGATGTTAAGATATTAAAAAAAAAAAAAAAAAAGTGTATTATAATTTAAATAATTAGTATTTAAAAAGTTTTAACATATTAATTTCTTTTGAAAATTATAATTAATTTTCAAATTTATCATAATCCCACAAAAGTATGTTATTATATTTTAAAATGTCACCATATATATTTTTATTTTTAAACATTCACTGAATTATTTAATTAGAAAAATAAAATCTTAAATTATGTCGGAAAACGATCTTTTGAACTTTTGTGCGGCCGAATAAAAAATGTGTGAGGAAAGATGCTACATGCTACAAATGATGTTGATAATTATTCTAAGACGAGACGAGAGAGTTGTAATGCTTGAGAGTTAAAATGGTTATTGTTGGACTCTTTAAAATATCGAGATTAAATCAATAAATAGAGAAATTATGATAATTTAAAATACATGGAAGAATTCACATCTGAATCGCATTTCAAAAAGAACCTCGGAAATTCAGAATGATTCATCTCAAATTTGACCGTCATATGGGCCAAGGCCCATTGAACTGCAAATACTCTTTGGGCTTGGGCCATGTTATTTCATTCTCTAATAGTCATGCAATGGCTCACCATACGCTCCATTCATTTGGTCAAACTTAGGCTCAAGCTTCAATCAAATTTTTGTTTTCTCTATTTTTTTCCCATATTATTAAACAAATAAATTACTTTTAAAAAGTAAAATATTTATTAAAAATAAAACTTTTAACTTTTTTTTTTAAATAATTTTTATATGGTTTATAAATAGAAAGAATTCAATGTTATATAACAGCTAAGCCAACCGAAGATATTGTGCCCACCATTGTCTGTTTTGGCTCAAAGTTTTAAAAAATGAGCGTAGTCAACCTCACCGTTTTGAAAATGAGAAGTTTCCACACACTTCCTAATTGATCATAGTAGTATAATTCTGATAATCTATGCAACTTCATCATCTTCGGGTCAACGTAATTTAAAAAAAAAATAATAGCTTCCGTCTCTCATATTGGTTTATTAAGATATAATATTTAGAGAATATATTATGATAATTAGTTATGGAATATATGATAGTCATAATCAGTTAATATTTTATGTTAGGATTTGATTAATCGAGATTTGGTTAGTTTATATTTTTCCCTTATTTTTTATTTTAGATATTAATTGTCGCTCAATCCTCTCAAGTCTACCACAAGAAGACATTGTTTGCTTTAGCCTATTATGTATCGTCGTCATCAACCTCACGAATTTAAACGCGTCTGTTAAGGAGATATTTCGACACCCTTACAAATAATGTTTCATTCTTCTGTCCAACCAATGTGGAATCTCACAAGTTAAGTAAAAGAAATCGATATATTAGATCCAATCCAATCGAAATTGAATACAAACATGAACCAAACCTTAGTAGCCTTTAATAAAGCACATGCTATTCGATAGGGTAATAATCAATAGAACGGTTAGGTTTGAAATTAAAATAAATAAAGTTTGCCCCATGCCATTTCAAAAGGTAAAGACAAAGCCATATCCAAATTTTAGTTAAAAAGTCAATTTTAATCGCAACAATATAAACCCAACCTTTGTTAGGTCATGCTTCCTTTACTTAGTTTTAAAGTTTCAATCTTGATTTATTTATTTTTAACAATTTTCTATGCTAAATATATTGGTTTAACAAATAAATAAATAAATAAATTCCTTGAGGTTGTGTTGGTTCAAATAATATTTGTAATTTAAAAAAGAAAAAAAAAATGGTAACAAATCATGAGTGTCTGTGTAAAGCTTAGACAATATGATGCGCTCTTCTATCATCCTCTTCAAAGCTCGAAATATCATCATCACTATCACCATCAGATTCCTATTTCTCGTACACAAATACACAATAACAAAATTCTTAGTCTTTCCCCCTTTTCTTGGCTTTCCAAATGTAAACTAAAACTCACCTCCTCGTCCTCGTCCTCGTACTGATACCGATTTCGACGAGCACTGTTTTGAATAGCGGTGATCGTTCGAATTATCACGTACATAGGAAAAATAATCCCACTGGCTCTTAAAATAAGAACCTAAATCGAACACACACAACAAAATAAGTAATATGCATTCCTCCTTCAATTGAACCGAATAGAATCGAGTACTCACAGTGGCAAGCGTAAATGGGTATTGTGCAGTGTCAATAGTAATCACTTCATAGAAATGTCTCACCAACAACATTAAAGTAAACTGCATAACAAAGGAAATTAATACAAAAATGTCAACTTTTTTATAAACTCATAAGGGAATCTTAGTATTAAAAGGGTAAATTTGTTTGTGAATTTTTTTAAGGGAAACAAAAGTAGCTAGGGCTAACTGTTAGTTTGTTGGGTTGGTGACCTACATTATACTAAAAAATATAATCATAGTCGAACCCCACTAAAAATATATATATATTAATTACGGCTGAACTATAGTTTATAGTTTAGATGAATGAATGTTATTAATATCTATGTTTAAATTTTAACCTATGATAGTGGGTGGAATTATTTAGAATAAAATAATGAAATTAGTGTGTGACATAATGAATTCCAATTATGTAGTGGTAAGTTAAACCCACTATGAAATTAGTGTTTGATAATTGAGTTCAAGAGGAACTTACAGTGAGAGCCACGGATTTACAGCAGGAAGCACCACGGTCAGCGGTGGTGGAGCAAGTGGAGTCCGACGCGCCGCCGTCTGCGGGTGGCGACGTTGGCTCTGCCGCTTCTTCTTCCTCGCTTCTAGGGATTTGCAAACTATCCCTGCCAAATAATTTTTTTTAATTTCATTTCCTTAAATGTTTTTTAAAAAATCGCCAGCAGAGCCGAGGAATTGGCTGTAAAGCATGTCTGGGTCGCGATTTAAGAAATTTCCCATTTCCATTACAAAGTGGAAAAAGAAGAAAATACCTAATAGTGACACCTGGATCGCCGCGTTGAGGCTTCTTAGAAGGTGACGTGTAGCCTGGTTCGTAATTCTGTAAGAACAAAAACAAATTTAAAAAGAAAAAGAAAAAAAAAACATTTTCTATTTTCGTTCATCCCTAGGTAATTATTTAATGTCTATACTTTTAATTCATAACAGAATTTTAAATTATTGTTTTAAAATTAATGTAGAAGGGATAGGCAAACATTTATTAATTTCTTAAATTAACAAAAATACCTGTTAAAAGTCGGGCATCTATTAAATAACGCATTAAAATATTTCAAGACGAAAATAGTAATATTTGAAGGGAAAAAAAAAATTGTATTTTTAAAATTAAAAAGTAAGAAAATAGAGACTTGAATACAAAGAAAAACACGAAATCCAGTGGGCAAGAAACCCATATAGATTCAGAGAGGAAAATAAAAAATAAATAAAATTTCAATTTAAAGAAAACCCAGAAACGCAAAGATCAGGAAGAACAGAGGAAAAAAAAAACAGCGAACCTGGAGACAAATTTCACAGACTGTGCTGCCTTTTTCGGTGCACCATCTCTGAATACAATCTCTGTGAGCGAACTGAAAAGACAAATTCAAATTCAAATTCAAATTCAAATTCAAATTCAGAAGTGGAAGAAGAAAAATGAATTTGGGGGTTACCTTAATGGTGCCAGAACAGGAACAGGGGGCTTCGAGTTGGAGGGCAGTTTCGAATTCGTCTTCGTGGCAGATCCTACAGCGTGAGACTTGGTAGGACGTTTGGAGTTGGAACTCCTCTACGTATAGAGACACTTCGCCCATCTTTTGTTGTGGTTCTTCTTCTTCTTCTTGTTTTTGCTCAAAATGCTCTGTTTTTATTCAAAACAAACTCTCCGTTTTTCTCGGTGTTCTTCCCTCTTTTGTGGATTCTCAGCTTTAAATAAACGAAAGGGAGTTGAATTTCCCAAACCACCCCTGGGGTTCGCTTATGATTTGTGATTGAATACTTCAACAGACTACGAACACATGGAAGGAAGTCGAGTCACATAACTCCGTGTGATGCGAGGAAATAACAAATCATTTATGAATTTTTAATTATGTTGGGAGAAAAAATTATATGAGATTTATTGTATTAATCAAATATGCACCCGACCCCATTTAACCTAAACATCAAATATGTCGAGTCTAATGTTATATTAATGTGAGTAGGTTAAATCAATCCCTTCTACTACTTACTTGAATTGTCGGTTTAATCCAGTGGGGCGGTGAATCCTCGAGAACAAGGGAGGGAGTGGAAACAGATTTTTCTTCCGTTGGGAATGGAAATTACATCCTGGTCCCTATCCCTACCTCGATCCACCTTACCCCACTTTTATATATATTTTACGGTTGGGAATTCAATCCTTGCAAATTCCTTGTAAGAATCTCCCCTTGATACTTATAAAAAATGTGAAACATAAAATAGTAATAAACAAATTGTTAATTATTTATAAAGAATTTGAAAGATTCAAAATCTTTTTCAATTGTAAAAAATATAGAAAAGATGTTTTTTTGTGTGTCAAACCCCATTGTGAAATATGCTTTAATTCATAATTGGAGAAGAATATTTGGATAACAAAGCATTTCAAATCCTTTATTCAGTTTTGACCCCTTTCTACACTCTTTTTAGATTCTTTTTTTTTTTTTAATATATTAATATAATTGGAAATTAAAATATTTGTAATGAATTAAAAAACAGTTATAAATGATTAATTAATTAACTAAATAATTTAACATTCTTATCAATAAATAAAAGATACAAATTATTTTTAAAGTTTTGACCTAACTAACCAAAATCCAATATGGAACCACCTAAAAAAACCTATCCCCACCAAAACATTTTTTAATTTCATATTCGCAAAAAATAAAAATAAAAATAAACATTTAATTTCGCCACGTCATTAAACGTGAACATAATGAGTATGAAAAATAATTAATTAAAATACGCATGCAAATATATAAGAGATAAGATGAGAAAAGAGATTGAGATAATATAATATTGCTTCAAATGGCCGATTTAATAAATAAAAGGAATAGTAGGGATAAATTCGTCTTTTGCCACGAACTTATCGTATTTTTGAATTTCTTGTTTTGCTGGAAAGGGATCAGGAGCCTGCGATTTTAAAATCAACGGTCGAGATGAATTTAGAGCGGAAATTCAAATTTGTGGGCCGGCTAATGGGAGCCCAATTTCATCGGCCCGTTTCGAACGACCGGGAGGAGGACGGTGGCCGGTTTATGAGATTCTGTGGGGCCGGTTTACTTTTAAAATTTATAAAAATAAATAATAAGATAACAGACAAATAAGAATGCGTGAAAAAAGCATGCTAATTACCTTGAATTAAAATCTAAGCTAATTAAAGAAGATATAAGGAAGAAAATGGCTTAATAATTTAATAAAGTAATTTTTTTATAAGGTGGGTTGGTCCAACTCAGTGACCGATTTGGTTTGGTTGGGTGCACCGAACTCTTGTTGCCGGCCCAGCAGGCCAACTCGTTGGTTCACCTTTTTAATTTATTTTAAAAAAATATTATTTATTATTCTCTCAACCAATTTACCACCATTTGGCTTTGGCGTTACCGCCAATAACGTAACTTCTCATTATTTAAATTAGTACCATAATAATTAAAATTGTACTATCTTACCGGAAAACTAATTACTATAAATATTACTGTAATAATCATAAACCCAACTTAACTTAATAATGAGTTGAAAAAGAATGCCTAATAGTTCGCATATGTTAGTGCTATACCCGGATGTCATTTTCGAGATTTGTTGAGTCATATAGCCTAGAAGCTTAGGTTCTGGAGGTGGGTGAGCAAGCCCATCATCTTTAATGAACTTTACTTGTCAAAGAGAAAATAACAACTCGGTCCGCAAAAGAAGTAGTCAATTGTCGACGTAAGTAAATGAATTAGCAGCTTTATCTCCTGAAATAATCAATAGGTTTCGGACGGCGGTAATACAGTGGATGCAAGTGTTATCTGGAATGATTGGGCCTTCGGCTTGAATTGAACAGTTTGATTAGGTAAGGAAAGGAGGAAGTTCTTCTACAATAAAAAAAAAAAAATTGGACCGTTAAAATGGTTTAAATGGTAATTAGGCCCAAAGTGGAAACCAAAAGATTAGCTCCAAATCCAATCCAATCTATGGCCTTTCACTTTCACTTAATGCTTCCCCTACCTATAAATCAAAATCTTGGACCCCAGTATTGGACCCTTGTTTTCATTTTGTTTTTTATTTACAAATTCATATTTATTCTATTTACTTTTTAGTATTTAATTAGCATTCAATTTTTTTGGTTTATAAATTTGGTACAAAACTACGTCAATAAATTAATAAAAATACCATTAAATTTGGTATTTAATCTAAAAATATTTCTGACAATTTCAAAAGTTTCAATAATATTTTTAAACTAAAAAAACAATCTAAAAAAATAGTTAGAGTTAGTTTTGGAGATAAATTATTAATACTCTCCTCAAAAATTACTCGAGAACATTTAATATTATTTTAAGCATAACATTTAATTATATAGAAGTGTTTTTTAATTTTTTTTATTTAAGAGAGTATTAATGAAATGTCTAAAAACTTAAACGAATGTTTTTTAAAAGTTAGAAGGGTATTTTTTAAATACTTTTCAAATATTCAAGTATTTTGTAGTATATATTCCATTAATTGTATTTGGAGTTTGAAGCTTAGATATTTTCTATAATATAGATATTATAAAAACAAAAGAAAACAAAATCATTATGAAATAGAATATCAGATATTTATTTCGCAATTGATTCAAAATATCATCAGACCAGTTTTCTTTTTAATTTTTTTTTTAATATTACAATTAAAGAAAGACTACAATATTTTTGATATTTTCCCCTTTCAAAAGTGGCTGCTTCAATTTTTTTTTTCTTTTTTTGAATTTTAATTTTTATGTAAACAAATACCAAAAAGTCATGAAAGTTAAGAGCCAAATTTGATTTTCACATCATGAAAATTATACGAAAAAAAAAAAACAAATTAAACCTCAATTATTGTTGGAGTAAAATAATATCAATTATTAATTTTAAAATTTATTTAAATATGAAGATTTGTCAAAGAAATATGTACTTATCAATCAAACATTTAAATAATTTTAAAAATATTTATTTTAATCATTAACATTACAAAAAGCTATTTACTGGTGTATACATACTTCAAATTATTGAAAGGTTAAACAATTGTGATTATAAGTAATAAAAGAAATTGTCAACTAAAATTTAATTTTAGAATATTCAATAAAAGAAAATGGAAACTTCATCTTTATCTCTAGAAATAATATCTCCTCACTGCTGTCCCATCAAAACCTAATCCAATTTGCACTTTTTAGTCCCTCATTTTGATCCATTTTACCATTCAATTTAAAGGTAACTATTTGATTACCAGGTTTTCATCTAATAATAATATAAATGTTTTATCAGAGTTGCAAGGGTTTCAAACCTTAACTATAACATGTTGTACTAAAGGCTATGTTCGGTTGGGTTGAATAAGATGACCCTTAAATAAGATAAGTTAACGTTCAGTCTCTAATTAAATAATGTTCCTATTAAAATATAATATTTTGAGAATATATCTTAATAATTAGTTCGGGAGTATATGATATCCTTAATCAGTTAATATATATTTTTTTTTTTTTTTGAGTTTTTAATAGTATATTTTATCTTATTTTACTTATAAGATTTAGTTAGTTAATATTTTTTTATTTTATTTGTGAGAGTTAGGATATTTTATATTAGGATTTGATTAATAATCTATTTTATCTTATTTAAAAGATTTAGTTAATATTTTTTCTTTATTTTTGGTAGTTAGTTATTGGAAGTTAGTTAGGAGTATATTTTATCCTAGGATTTGATTAGCGAAGTGTTTTATTTTATTTACAAGATTTAGTTAATTATTTAATATTTTTTTCTTTATTTTTGGGAGTGGTAAGAAGTATATTTCAGTATATTTTATCTTATTTACAAGATTTAATTAGTTAATATTTTTTTTTTTGGAGTTGTTAGTAGTATATTTTATTTTAGAATTTAATTAGCCGTATATTTTATCTCATTTATAAGATTTAGTTAGTTATATATTTGTATTAGTAGATAGTTTGTATCTTATTTAAACGTCTTAAACATTAATGAAAATCATACTTTCAATCACATTTTGTTTCTCATTCTTAACCGTGCTTAAGGTAAATAAAACTCTAGCTCCTAAAGTTCACTGCTTTGACTCCAATTGTTCTAATTTTTCATTTTTATCGGAACATCTGGTATTTTATTTTATATTCACATCAAAATTTATTTATAGGTAGTAGTTTTATTTTATTTTATTTTATTTATTTGGACAACTTGTACTTGTAGGACATGGTATTTGAATAAAAAAGAAAGTAATTGAAAGCTATTTGAATGAGATGTGATGTGTGACACATTTCATAATATAACTTTAATAATTATTGTTTTTGGCTGGTTTCTTTTAATATCAGCATTAAACTGATTTTTTAAAATTATTTAATTAATTAAAAATTTATTTAAAAAATATCAAGGGGCTTTTGTGCTCGGATAAGCTGTTACATTAAAATCACAGAAATAGAAACGGATAGATTTAAATTCGTCGCTCAATGGATTCAATAAAATTATGCATTTCGCCCTAAACAAAAATGGGTTCCGCTGTCTCATCCAGAACCTGAGGCCAATACACTTCTCCACGCCATATATATACACAAACATTACGGGCGCTATTATCATCTCAATAATTTACATTAACTCAACCGAATCCGGTGAAGAAGGCGATTATGGAAGCCGCGAAATCGTTGAAGGCGAACGGACAGAGGATCGTGGTTGCTGTAGACGAGAGTGAAGAGAGTATGTTCGCCTTGCAGTGGTGTCTCTCAAATCTCACTTCTCCAGATACCAAAAACACTCTGATTCTCCTCTACGTCAAGCCGTCTCCGGCCATTTCCATTTCCTCCTTCGATGCGCCGGGTAAAATTTTTCGATTCAGGCATCTGATTTCGTGAATTTGAATTTTGACGGTTTGTTTGTACTTTAGGCTATGTGTTTTCGAGCGATGTGATTTCGGCGATGGAAAAGCAAGGCAAGGATCTGGTTAGCGCGGTGATGAAGAGAGCCGAAGCAGTATATGCTAAGTTTAATACGAACGTAATGGATTGACTCTCTCTGATTTCTAATCTCTGATCTGTGATCTGTTTAGTTTGATTGTTTTTGTATGTGTTAATTTTCTGAGTGGCATTTTGTCGAACACCTATTATGTTGCAGGTAGATTTGGAGAGAGTAGTAGGGAGGGGAGATGCGAAGAACGTGATATGTCGTACTGTGGAGAAGCTTGGAGCCGATACCTTGGTTATGGGATGCCATGGTTATGGTTTCTTCCAGAGGTCCGTTCAAATTTTTGGCTATCTCATTTCTTTATGTTCATTTTGAAATTCCTCTCAAGAGCAAAACGTTTCTTAATATATGTGTGAATAATTTTTGTATACTAATTACGTCACGCCAATATTAAGCAACAAAATATTAGGTAGGATGGATACTCACTTATGTTAATTTGTGTTTGCAGGGCACTGCTTGGGAGCGTGAGTGATTACTGTGCCAAATATGCGAAATGTCCCGTTGTTATTGTCAAGTAACCTTAGAATTCCAAGCAAAGAAATTAAAGCTCTTAATTCTGATGTAATATAGCTTCATCAAAGTTTTAAGGAAAATGAAGGAGAGCTTCAATTTATTTTCAGAACCTTTGAAATTAACCTCTAAATTTAAATTACTTAAATTTCTTAAATTTACTTCAAATATTTTAAAGTCTAATTGATAATTGGGTACATAGCAATAAATATATATATATATATTACAAAATTTAATTGTTTTGTTCCCTTCGATTTTGAGGTGCACTTAGTTGCGTCGAGTCTTCAAATTGATAAAAGAACCATCAATTTATACCCTAAAATCGTTGTCTCCATCATCTTAAATATTACTCCATTAATGTCTCGATTCAGATTGGAATTATAATTATATTTTACATTTTTTTAAGTCAAATAAAAATTTGTGACATATTAATATCCAATAATAAAATAAGAGTTATATTCAATGATTTACCTATAAGATTAATATTATATTCATAATTCAATTATTTAAATCATAGAGGAACGTTCAAATACTCCCTTGATATTTAAAGAAATAAAAAAAAGAAAATTGGAGGACTATAAAATTAAAAATTTAGGTAAATTGGGAAGAAACAGGAAATGCACGCGAAATTCACAAACGAGAGCGGTCTGATTTTACATTACAGTTTACACCCAAAAGAAAAAAAAAAAAAAAAAAAATTGTATTTTCGATCCGTTTCGTATTCTCATATTCTTCTCCGTCCAAACTCCAAATTCTCTCCTCGGATCGAAGCCCACAACCTTCCAGATTCCTCAATCTGCCCTCATCGGCGACCTAGATCCCCTTCAATTTCCCTCCGATCTGCTTCCGTTCGACTCCACCAATGTTCCTCATTGACTGGTTCTACGGCGTCTTGGCCTCCCTCGGTCTTTGGCAGAAGGAGGCCAAAATCCTGTTCCTTGGCCTCGACAATGCCGGAAAAACCACCCTGCTTCATATGTTGAAAGACGAGGTTTGATTTCTTCGATTTCAGTTTCGCGATTTGGGGGAAACTCTGTGTTTTATTTGTTAAACGTGAGGGATTTTGGATTTGGCTGAGGAAATGAAATAATTGGAGATTTTGATTTGTTTCTCATGGCGTGGCTTGGTTATTGTTCTTCGTTTGTTTTTCTTTTTCTGGTTTTCTTGTTCTAGAGGTTAGTTCAGCACCAGCCTACACAGTACCCGACGTCCGAGGAGTTGAGTATTGGAAAAATCAAATTCAAGGCCTTTGATTTGGGTGGACATCAAATCGCTCGTAGAGTCTGGAAGGATTATTATGCTAAGGTAACAAAACTCGGTTCTTCTTCTGAAATTCGAGCTTATTGTATTTCCATTTTCAGTTGTTTACTTTGCTTTTGTGGTGACTTTCTTGGGCATTTGGTTCTGTTGAGGAGCACTTTCATATCAAATGAAGAACTATCGTTTAATTCCAAGCTGATAGTTAGTTTGGTATCCTTTGATTTCCATGAGTTTAGGTATTTGACATGTCCACGATGAAAGAAAAATGACACTAGTTGTTCCTTCTTGAGCTGCATAATACACGTTCAGTTGTTTATCTTACTTCTTGATGTGTGATACTCAACTTATCAGTAATTTGTATCAGTCTCTAGTTACCAACAATTTGCTCACCTGCTCTTAGCATTTAAAGATCACATTTAATAGTAATTGCTTTGCAGGGGAGTGATCTTCCCCATAGTTCAGTGTAAGCATTGAAAAGAAACTATATATGATATGCCGAGCCCTGCTTCTGAATCTTTGAAACACAGTGATTTTCCTCAATTTGAAATGAAAAATGATAATTATCACAGGTAGATGCTGTTGTGTACCTGGTGGACGCCTTTGACAAAGACAGGTTTGCAGAATCAAAAAAGGAGCTCGATGCTCTTCTCTCTGATGAGTCTCTTGCTAACGTGCCATTCCTGATATTGGGCAACAAGATTGACATTCCATACGCTGCATCAGAGGAAGAATTGCGGTACCATCTTGGATTGACGAACTTCACCACGGGGAAGGGAAAGGTAAATCTGGCTGATTCGGACGTTCGAGCATTAGAGGTATTCATGTGCAGTATTGTTCGGAAGATGGGTTATGGTGATGGATTCAAGTGGATGTCTCAATATATCAAGTAGTAGGTGAGATTGACAATGGTATGTGATACAATTTCGTGAATTAATGAAATCCCACTGTCCGAAGCCCCTCCGAGTCGATTGGAGTTTGATAATATTGAGTGTGTGTTAGAGGGAGGGGGTTTGAGTTGAACTTTTCTTTTTTGTTTTGCTTTCAGATGATGTGTGGATGGAGGAGGGAGGAGGGAGGAGGGAGGAGGGAGGAGGTATACTCATGGCTTATTATGTAAAATTCAGTTCCTATCTCAAAGTTTATTGTTCTTGACATTCTCATCTCTTGTTCTTTGTTCATCTGACTCGGTTAGGACCTGCTTTTCTTCTAATTCTTGTTTATCAGCACCAGTTCTAAGTGGAAGGTCTGATAAAGTAAAAATTAGATTAGAAGCTTTTTTGTTTTGTTTTTTTGTTTTTTTTTTTGAGTTCTGGATAAGAAATCACGGCCGATTGCAAGACTGGTTCCAAAACTCTTTGGTTTTTGCGGAATTAACCGCCCCACATCTCTTCATAAGCGCCATTCTCACACCCTCAGTCATGCAACACCTCCTTGTCTATACTTTTAATTCATAACAGGATGCTTACCGACGTATCTCAACCGACGACACCAGTTCCCTTCTCTTCCGAGACAAGATTCGACGTGGTAGGGGAGGTATCAAAGCACAAGGGGTGTCACTGTCGCCATTGGTAGCGGAATCGAGCAAAGGTGTAGTCGGAAACGGATCCACGAGGGAGAGATTCGTCAGGGAGTCGGGTTAAGAAGATGAGATCCACATGTTGGACATTCGGGTCGGGTGGCCCACACTAGTGCAGAAACCGCAGCCTAGAAGCACATGGCCCGGATCGAACTCGTGCAGTCTAGTTCGCGTGAAGCCCGTTTTGCTCGTTGACCTCGAGTAACGACCTGCGGTCCTCACACGTTGTTGGTTTAGTCCAGCCCACCGATGGGAGTTTGGGCGGCCCCGCAGAAGCAGGTTGTGGGCTTTGAGAAGGTCCATTTGGAGGCCCAAGCCCAGATTAATATCCATGTGTGGAAGTTTCTGAGCGTGGTGGACGGATTTGGAATTAGAAGGGTTCCAATGGGGGAACATGGAATTCATATTTGTGACGTTAGGCATTCAGTGTCTCTACAGGCTGAGACATTGGGGATTCTCAAGTCTTGAATGGGAAATGTGACGGATTTGCCCCTCTTGTGAATTTTGTAATGCCGGATTTGTCCTTTTGGGGATGGGATTATTGTTGCGTTGGGGGGCAAAATTGGGATATTAAAAACTCTAAAATTTATTGCAAGAAAGTATGCTAAAGCAATGGCTGTTGTTTTAAAGCAGTGTGTAAACAGAATGAAAGCTAAAGTTTGGCATAAAATCGATGTGGGGACGTCCTCGCCCTCCAATTATTCCTCACAGAGAACGCATAGAGATCGAATGACAAAATCTCTCCCCACCTTGTATTTAATCGGGAATACTTATCATATGAAGCATGTCCCCACGAAATAAATAAACATTTTTGATCGAAAATGCAATATAAAACCACCTCAACTTGATGAATTCATTAAATAAAATGGGGAATCATTTGAAGTTTAGAAATTTATTTAATCCTTGGAGGGACAGCAGCAAAGGCAGAACATGGTGTGGGAGAATCAAAATCTTGTGCATCTCATTATTTGAGGAACTCCCAACAAGTGCATACATTGTTGTTTAAATTGCATTTGTAATTGCAAATTCCCAAATCCCCACGACTTTCCGCTCTGCCATTCAAGATAAGTATTATTTAATAACCCTGCTAATTATTTATAATCAAACTACCCACTCCAATGCTTGCATCACAAATGTTGGAGTATTTAATAACCTAACCCTCAAACTCCAATATTAATATTAAGATATTCAGTATTTAATTAATTTTGTAGCGTTTACTACCAAGGAATAAGAACTCGAAGCTCTGAATATAGAAGGCGTTGATTGATTCAATGACAGTGCTTACTAAGAAGTAGTGTGATTGTATTTGTGTGATGGTTTACAAGCATGCAAGGAGGAGCATTGTGGAAGCTGAAGGAAGGGAGATTGAACACGACGTAGAGACGACTAATTTAAAGAATGATATCCTGAGTTTGTAAGTAAAGGAATATAAAACCCAAAACAAACCTATGACAGTTTATGTTCAAGGTAGTGAAAATATAGTACAGTTTATGCGCAAAAGAAGGAAGAGAAACAAAGAACTATGTCATGTGAGAGGATCCAAAAGGAGTACAAGTACATTGGACCCAGTACTAATGTGAGTTGTCCATCATTAGTCATCGTGTCACAAGATGCTAGAGGAGTATGAGTATGTATACGGGTTTGACATGTCACCCTTGGACTTGGGATCGGCATGACTCTCTCTCTTTCTCTCTAGTGCATTCGAGTTAGGTTGAGTTGGATTGACCGATCATTCGCACACTAAACCCATACCTAACCCAAATTGAATCATATAAAAAAAAAAATCAACCCGACCCAATTCAAAAGTATGTCTAATCTAACCTAAGGTTCGAAAATGAATTATTTTTGGATTAGGAGGATGAGAAAAAGGGCTTAAAAAGGTTTTTAGGTAGGAAGGGGAACTCTAAAATAAGTGGGCTTTCGTTTTTAAATGATAACCTCTTCTTTTATGTTGTGTTGCACAAAAAGCGAATTGTGAAAGTACTTGCTTTGCTGGTAGGCCTACTTAACTTAAAGGCCTCTGTACCCATCAAAATCATTCATTCTATACAAAGTTTACTTTTTTATTCGTTCACACCAATTCCACAACAATTTCCAACATTTTTGCTCCACATTTCTGTCACATATTTTTTCACAAATTTTGCTTCCATGTTCTAAAACAACCTGTTTCATCAAATTAACTCATATTTTTAAAATAAAAAGCCTATTAAAACGAGTAATTAAATGAAATAAAAAAGTTATAAGTTCCTTTGAAATAAAATCAATAAAGTG